ACCACCGCCGCCGATCGTCGCAGCAGACTGTCGCCTCGCCCAGCCCCGGTCGTCTGCCCAGCCTCCCTTCCTCCTCCAACCGATTTTTATGGCCCCCTCTCCTCCTCCCTCTCCCTTCTCTTCTTCTCCCTTCTTCTTCTTCTTCTTCGTTCTGCAACAAAACCAGGGGAAAAAAAAAAACTCGACACCAAAACGACGTCGTTTTGGTGTCGAGCCAGATTTCGAGCCGTGTTATTCGAGCTACCAATCGGAACCGTAACCAAAAAGTCAACCCACTTCCCAAACGAAGGCACAATCTTCTTGTAAGAGCATCTTTATCAAAATAGTCAAATTTTTAGTCAAATTTCAACTAAAAAGTTACTTTTCTATTTTAACTAATCACTTTTTTAAATACATCCTCCAATAAACTCTCCATTATTTTTCTATTCTATTTAAATATTTTTATTTTCTTATTTCTTTATTTTTTTTTCTAATAGTCATATTTTTTTAAAGTAACATTTTTCAATAGTTCAACTTTTGATCAAATATTTTTAAATAGACACATTTTCAATATGTGTTTTTTAGAATATCTTTCTAATATAAATAATATCACTTCATCTCTATTTTTTATCCACTTCAATATAATTTTTTTTTTTCAATTTATTCTTTGTTTTTCAATATGCTTACAATTTTGTACAAGAAAAACTATTTTGTTCATACACATAACCATTTAAAATATCCCATTAGTTTAAGTAAAAAAAAGGTTGGTTGGCTTATACACTTATCAAATATGTGAACAAAATAATGCTAGTCTAATATTTTATTATTTAAATATATTTGTTGAGTCTTGATAGCTAGCTAGTTGTGGAGAGGATTTGACCCTCAACAGATTTGGCAATTGGAAAGGCTAGCTTGATGGAGTATTTGTTTGGTGAATTTTCTTGATAGAATAGCTAAGAAAGGGATTTGATGTGTTTGATGTAAATGCTCTAAGGCAGTGAAATGGAGGGTAGGCTTTTCAAACTATCGTGTCACATATCAAAATGTAAATATGATTAATTTATTAACGTTCTTTAAAAAGACTCTACATGTCTATTTTAATTCCAACACCATTTAAGAATGAGATTGATATACATTTGTAATGGAAAGCTTTATTGAATTAAAAGGATGATAAACTAACTAGAAATCATTTGGACATTTGATGGTTTGGTTTGAGTCAAGACCCAACATCATTTTTAATAGTTTCACTTAAATGTCTAGAAAACTAATTCTGAAATATGAAATATTAATATCTCACACTCTCTCTCATGAGCAATATAGGATAGACAGTCACTTCACATATTGGTGCCAATAGCCAAGCCTAAAAAGGGTTATCACTTACCTCCCATCAACTGGGTTAAGAAAGGCCTGGGCCGAGGTGGTTAAAGTTACAGGAGGGTCCCCTACTAGGCCACACCAATATGACATCAGTGGGCCACAAATCTCTTGGGCACCCTCAGTTACACACACCCTATTTAACACTTTTTATGGAATCACGAACCTGTCGATCCTTCATTTCCAGTGTAATATTTGAGGGTAACTTTTTTTTTTAAGTTAAAAAATTAATAATTAAAATGTCAAAATCTTCGAATAATCACTTTATTTAAGTTATTTTTATCCCATAATTTATAAATAGAAATTACATTAAACAATTTTAACATAAATTCTCAAAATCAAATAAATCAAGTAAACAACTCTAATAAGTTATATCAAACAGATCATATACTGCTTAAGTGGGTCGATAGCAGCTGTGGACCCACAAAAAAATGTCTTTCTCCCAGCTGTTGACCACAAAGAAGGGAGATTCTGTTTACCCTCCAAAAAAAATATTTAAGTGAGTCTGATTTTTTAACACATCTTATTAGGTTATTTAGGGTTGCAATTTGTTCTTAGTATACCTTATATTTTTTTCTCAAATTATCCTTTTGAGGTACATTTAAATAAAACAAATTAAAAAATTCAAATCACTTTTGAAAAACTATTCTTTTGTTCACGTACATACATGGAATACGATCAGAAAATTCGGCACTAGCGAAAGTGGAACCAGTGAAAGTGGACAACGAAGGAGAAGGAAAAGGAGAACGGCGAAGGAGGACGACGAATATTCAACTTGTTTTTCATCGTTATTGTTTAGACTTTTAGAACCGAATAAAGTGAATTTGTTCAGATTTTCAAAATCGAACAAATTCACTTTATTCAATTATACACTACCAAACTAAATGATATTGTTTAGTTCTAAAAGTTCGAACAATAGTAACGAAAAACATGTTGAATATTTGCTTTCATGTAAAAAAAACATATAAATCAATAATTGTACTTTGATATTTATGTGAATACTTACTGTGAGTGTCAATTTCTGACCACACTGCCAAACAGGTACTCAGCTGGAGAATACTGGCAGAACAGATTAAGCCCGAACGACCCGTCAAAAAGAAAAGATTCCGGCGGTGGTTCGTCCACCCGGGGGCACTCCGACGATCAAGTCAGTTATCTCTCAAAGATAGTAAAAGTGCTTAACTCACTATTCAGAATACAAAAAGTGTACCTTAGACCCATGAGGGTGCCTCTCTTTTATAGCCAACATTGACCTAATCCCAATAGAAGCCTAGCTCCAATGGATTCTGTCTCAATGCTAATCCTGGACTCCCAGTCAGATTGGGATAAACTCTCTAAGAGTCTTATCTTTATCCAAACTGAAGTCCTCTTTTATTCTAGGACTGTTGTCCCTTATCCGCTTATTCCGGATTCCAGTATCTACGCAGATAATCTCGGCCTAGCCGAGATCATCTCGGCGTCATGACCAGGACACGTGGCACCTCGGCTGACACTTCAGTGCCACCTCGGGCACGTGTTGTCATCCAAAAATTATGTCTCCACAACTACCCCCTAGGTTCTATTACCTCGGCATCCTGAGGTGATGGAACCTATATCATTTCCTCCATCTAGCACGTTGGCTAATCTTGCTTTGTTACCGAGGTCATCATTCGTCGGCTCAATACAACCAAGACTTAGTCTGTTTTCATCAATGCTCTAGAACTAATAACCAAGTTTGTTCAAGTTATTTAGCCGAGATCGTTCTCCTAGCCGAGGTCCTGTTCCATTAAATCAAGAACTCCAAGAGTTTCAACACGCGTATGAGCTGTTATGCACAGTATTTCAACCGTTTCTGTGACGCGTCTTTCCCCTACTGAGCCATACCTGACACGCGCCATTAAGTCGCATCTCACTTGCGTGCGCCGTCTGAAAAGCACGTCGTCCTTGACATAGTAATTGTGTTTTTGCCGCCATTCCATGTGTTTGATCAAAACTGTGTCTCTCTCTCTCTCTCTCTCCGTCTTTTCACTTTTTTACCATCATTTTCGTGCAAACTCTCTCTTTCTACTCTCCCAAATTCGCCATTGTTTCAAGCTCTCAAGCTCTGCAACCACTTCCACTCTTCCCTTCCGGCGAACCTTCCGGCGAAGCTTTTGCTAATCTTTTCAGATTGCTGCCATCATCTGACTCCGGCGTACTCAACACCGGCTTCACTCCTCTGGTAAGCCACTGCTTTCCTTCGTTTCAGTTTCTTGTTTCTCTTCAAACTGTTACGTTTGTATACTGTTTCTATGACTTCATTCATGTTCTTGAATCTTCATTTATATTGCAAATTTCCCTTGCTTGCAATTTGTTTATAGATACATACACGTATTTACACACTTGTTCACTTTGCCACTGCTTTTGGCCTCGCACTCTTGTACACACTCTGTCACAGCGTTCTTGATAGTTCATCACCATTCTTGATTCTGAATCACGTTTTTGCTTATGTTTTCTTGTTGTTTTTTTCCAGATTCTTTCCTTTAATCCTCCTGTTTTAGTAACTTTAGGATTTGGGATTTGCCTTAGAACTCCAAACTCTACGAAAAATTGAAACAAATTCCGTTTAGATCCCAAAAAACCCTTGCCCCAGCATTTGCTTAGGTTTTGCCGAGGTTCGTAAAACCCTAACAAACCACTTCTTCTTGCAACCCAATACTTTTCCCTTTAAGTCGACATCATAGGTATGTGGAAGTGGAAGGTAGACATCCCAATTAAGCAAGAATATTTCAGGCAGGAGTTTTCCATCCCTGCCGACGTTCATCTTAGGTTGGCTGGGGAGGACGACTCTATTATGCCCACACAAGACTCCATGCCCTTCCCAGTGATAGACTTCGTAGTATATGGACTTAGGCTTTCTCTTGATATCCTTTTACGAGAAGTCCTACACTACTACAAACTGAACCCCATGCAGCTTGCCATTAACTCCTACCGAGTTATCAATGGTATAATTGCCTTAGCCAAAAGAGAGAATGCTAGGGTCACCCTTGCCGACATCCAGTACTGCTACACTATGTGCGGCCTTAAGTCAGAAAAAAGGCTATATTTACTACCTTAAGCCGAGGTCAACAGAATACAAACTCATTGCCGACCTCCCTGATTCCAACAAGGGCGCCGGGGACGATTATTTCATCGTCTTGGGCAACTGGGAGTTCCTTCCAAACGACGATCTTCACCTCTACCCTTTAAGCCGTACACTGTTCAGAGAGGGAGATGGTAAGAGCCAAGTGTTACCTTTTCTTGCTTCCAAGTCTCTCTTACTTTGATTTTTTTTGTACGTTCTAACGTCTGTTTGGTTTTGTTTTGCAGTTCTTCCCCAGCCCCCAAAGGACTTTCGCAAAAACTTCTTTCCCAGTAAAGATTTTAAGAAGTTGCTGGACTTGCTTGTCAATCAGCGCATGGCTTCTTTGTTGTTCAACTTTATCTCAATGTACAAATCTGTTCTTCCCGACGTCCCAAGAAAAAAGAATAGCAAGTCTCCTTCATTAGCCACAACTCCTCAAGCCAAATCATCAAGGCCTGACCAAGGATCAACATCTGGTCCTGTGGAACAACCATTAACCTCGGCTCCATAACTAATTTCTCATTCTCAACGTAAACGCCGACGTCAAACCGTAGCTGCCGCCGGGATGGGTCGCAAGAAGGTAGTTACTGATGATCTTCTGGCCGACATCCCGAACGTCACTACCGTCCAATCTCCATCTTCGCAATCTCAACCGAAATCAAAGCCAAAAAGGCTGAAGAAAGCCCAAGCTAAGGCAACAGTAACTCAGATTGACACTGAGGATGCCTTGTTAATTTCAAAACTGGCCGAGGGTGAGAAGTCCTCTTCCGCAGCTGAGAAGAGGCCTGCCGAGGCCAAACCATCCGAATCCACCAAGTCAAAGAGGCTGAGGTTGGCCTCTGTGGCCACCTCGGGGTCTCTCAAATCCGATGCCCCCTAGGCCCCTCCAATCACAATTGAGGACAAGCCAGTCAGAGCTGGTGACAGCGCCAATGACATTGAGGTCGGTATTGCCCTTTCTACTGCCTTGCTCCTCTCCAAAGATCTTGACCGCAACGCCGAATTCAGCGAGTATGAAAACTTCGCTCTAATGTTCCGTCCAAGTAAGCCCTCAACACTTGGTACTTTTTCATTTTCTGCTATTCCATACTTAGAGAGTTTTACTAACTTGCTTTTTCCATTTCTTCTAGGCGATCCAGCGTGGCCACTCCTTTGCGATGCAAGCCTTTGCCATCAAGAATGAGTTGGCCAACAAGACTAGGGAGACTGCTGGTTTGCAGAAGACCATCAATAAGGCTGAGACAAAGATGAAGACCTCGACAGATCAGGCCGAGGCAGCCAAGAAGGCTCAGGACGAGGCCGAGGAAAAGGCTGATGTTGCAGAGGCCATTGCCAAGGTCCTTGCGGTCGAAAAGAAAGAGGTCGAAGCAAAGATGGTCGAGGCCCAAAAACAACTCCAAGATGCTTTGGCCACAAAAAAGGCCGAGATCAAAGCGGCAGATGAGAAGGCATATGCCGAGGAGGCGGCCGATGTTCGAGATGATTACAAGAAACAAGTCAGACAGGCATGCAACAAGGGCTATACCCTTGGTTGGATGGCTGCTCTGAAAGAGTTAGTTGTCCCCGAGGACTCGCCTCTCCGACAAAACAGTCATATTGTCCTCCTATTCCCCCCTACTCCAAGCCAATTCGAGGACGAGGCTGAGTTTGAGGAGGAAGCTGAGGCCGAGAAGACGGTAGAAACTGCTGGGGCCAAGTCCCCAACTTTGAATGAGCAAGTCTTGGACTTAACTCAGGATGAGGAATATGAAGCTTTAAAGGGTGCCTCTTCCCAGAAGACAACCTCCGATGTGCCAATCGCCGAGAGAAGCATCGATCAGACTCTACAAGAGATCGTTGCCGAGCTCGAGGCTAAGAAGGTTGCCGAGAAGTTACCACAACTGTCTTCTGGGATCGAGACCTAGCCTCCCGAATAGTCTTGTTATAATCTATTTCTTTGTTTCTTGTACCTTGTACTTTTTTCTTACTTTTGAAACAATGTTAACTTTAATTTGGCCGACGTGCCATTTTTGTAATCTGAACAATTACTCTTCAATGTCAGGCTGAAGTGCCTTCTTTCCTTATCTGAATGCACTCTCAAATTTTTTCTTTCAATGCGATTGTATGTTTGTCTTCTTTTTATTCTTGTATGATTCTATACTTAGAATAATTTGCATGTCTTTGAAGTACACCTCAACTGTGCAATCTCCTCGGGGTAAAGTACCTCGAATATACCCATCAACTATTTATCTCGGCCTTGGCTTGACCCTTGAAAAATATTTTCACAAGTGTTGGCACTTTACCTTTACTTATCAAGACTTCTGTCTTCCATTATTTTCCAAGTTTTGGCAACATAGTAATCTCGGCAAGTGTGTAGATACTTTTTTCAACATAATCTTGGCTTAACTTCAACTTGTAAATTTTTCTTAAAATTTCAACAAGTGTTAAACCAATCCTTTTTTAACATATACTCGGCTTAACTGCAACTTGTAAATTTTTCTTAAAATTTCAACAAGTGTTAAACCAATCCTCTTTTAATATAAACTCGGCTTAACTGCAACTTGTAAATTTTTCTTAAAATTTCAACAAGTGTTAAACCAATCTTAGCTTATAAATTCCAACTCCCAAGCATCATTCTTCCAGCCCTCTGTCCCCTAATGTGAACTTAAGTTCCACTTGGGTTCTCATTAAGTATGTGGCTTTGATCTTGTCACTGAGATTAGATTCAAACAAAGGCCGTCCGAGGTCATCAACCTCGGTCGCCTGTTAATCTAACTGTTATAGGTTAATTCAATTTAATTCAACTATATTATATCCAAGTAGAAACTCTGCCATATAATAAGTAGCTATTTATCATGTTTCAGTCAGAAACATCGCCAACTTAGTTCAACTCTATTATATGCAAGTAGAAACTCTGCTAATAAGTCTAAGTTATTCGTCATGTTTCAATCAGAAACATCGCCAACTTAGTTCAACTCTATTACATGCAAGTAGAAACTTTGCCATATAATAAGTCTAAGTTATTCGTCATGTCTCAATCAAAAATATCTCCAACTTAGTTCAACTCTATTACATGCAAGTATGAACTCTGCCATATAATAAGTCTAAGTTATTCGTCATGTTTCAGTCAAAAACATCGCCAACTTAGTTCAACTCTATTATATGCAAGTAGAAACTCTGCCATATAATAAGTCTAAGTTATGTGTCAATCAGAAATATCGCCAAGTGACTGGTCAGTCATACTACACAAGTTTAAAAATCAAGCTAAGACTTTATTTTTACTTCGGCTAAGAAACAAAAAATCTAATGATAGAAAAACTTCAGATTGCAAGTATTCCGGGGTCTTGGAAACCCTTTGCCTTTACTGTCTTCAAGCCGATATGCCCCATTGCCTAGGACCGAGATGATTCTATAAGGTCCCTCCCAGTCTGGGCCAAGCTTGCCTTCTCTGGGATCCTTTTTGTTGTCGACGACCTTTCTTAGGACAAGGTCCCCAACTTGGAATTCTCGTGGGTTAAATTTTTTATTATAAGCCCTGGCAAGCTGCGGCTGGTATATCCCCAGCTGAATTGCTATATTCTCCCTTCTTTCTTCTAGCAGATCTAGATCTCGATTCAACAATGCCTCATTAGTCCAATTTTCTACTCCCTGGGTTCTGATCCCTGGGATGCTGACGTCCAGTGGGATCACTGCCTCTGTGCCAAAAGCCATGGCAAATGGGGATTCCCCAGTTGATCTTCTCGGCGTAGTCTGATATGCCCAAAGTACACTAGGCAACTCATCCACCCACTTTTGATTTGCTACTTCCAGCCTCTTTTTGATCCCATCCAAGATGACTTTGTTGGATGCTTCTGCTTGCCCATTACTTTGAGAAAAACTTGGAATGTAATAGTAGTTCTTGATCTTGTACTTTGCACAGAAGCTTTTGATTAGCTTACTGTCAAACTGTGTACCATTGTCTACTATTATTGCCCTTGGGATCCCAAACTTGGTGATTATGTTCTTCTAGATGAAGTTCTTCACATCAACATCTCGAATCTTTGCGAGGGGTTCAGCTTCCACTCACTTGGTGAAGTAGTCTGTTGCCACTAGCAGGTACTTCCTTTGTCCAAGTGCTTGAGGCAGTTGTCCAACAAGATCCATGCCCCATTGGGCAAATGGATAAGAGCTGGACACTGGGTTCAGATCTACTACTGGTTGGTGTATCAAAGGTGCAAACCTCTGACACTTCTCATATTTTGTGACATAGGCTTCAGCATCTTTCTGCATATAGGGCCACCAGTACCCCTGAGTAATGGCCCTATGAGCAAGTGACCTGCCCCCAGTGTGGCTTCCACATACTCCTTCATGTATCTCATACAAGAAGTCTTCAACTTGTGAAGGATGTACACACCTCAAAAGGGGACCAGTAAAAGACCTTATGTAGAGATACCCCTCTGCTGTCAGACTGAATCTTGCTGACTTTAGTCTGATCTTGTGTGTTTCTTTATGATTATCTGGCAGTTTTCCTTCTTTAAGGAATGCTATTATTGTGTCCATCCAGCTTGGTCCCATCTCCACACACATTACTTCATGCTCTGTGTTTAGTGGTTCTATGCTTAGACCTGACAAGTAGTCCACCATTATTGTCCTTGCCTCTCCAAGTTTCATTGCACTAGCCAGGTTGGCCAGAACATCAGCATGGTTGTTGTCATCTCGGCTAACCTGCTGTAGTCGGCAATTCTGGAATAAGGCTACCAATCTGCCTACCTCATTTACATAGGTCGACATCCTTTCATCTCGGGTTGCGTATTTGCCTGTTGCCTGGTTGACAATAAGCTGGGAGTCACAGAAGACTATTACCTCGTCAGCTTCCATTGTTACTGCCAGCTTTAACCCTGCGATTAGTGCTTCATACTCTGCTTCATTATTTGAGGCTCTAAACCCCAAACGAATGGATTATTCCAGTACCTATCTATCTGGCGATACCAGCATTACTCATGCCCCCGCTCCTTGTCGGTTTGAACTCCCATCAACAAATAACTGGAAGGAGTCGCCGATGTAAATATTACATGGCTTGAGTTTCTCTTTTTTCCTCTGTTTGGTTATCCCCAACTGGGTTTCTCCTTGTTTACCTCAGCTTAGTGGAGCCCGATGTGTGATGGCGCCTGATGTGAACTCAGCCATGAAGTCGGCCAAACCTTGGCCTTTGATTGTTGTTCTAGGTCTGAATTCTAGGTCATATTGGCCCAACACCACTGCCCATTTGGCTATTCTGCCTGTCAGATCTCCCTGCTGTAACAGGGACTTCAAGGGATGCTCAGTTAACACCACAATTTTGTGGGCTTGAAAGTAATGATTCAGCTTCTTAGAAGCCATTACTAAAGCCAGTGTTAACTTCTCCAAGGGTAGATATCTGGTCTCTGTATCTGCTAGGGTCTTACTCACGTAGTAAACTGCCCTTTGCTCTCCATTTTTTTCTTTGATTATTACTGCACTCATTGCATGTTCTGACACCGCTAAGTATAAGAACAACTCTTTTCTTGGTACTGGATTTGAGAGAACTGGAACTGTGGTTAAATACTTCTTCAAGTCGTCCAAAGCGACTTTGCACTCTTCTGTCCATAAGAAGTCTGTGGTTTTTTTCACTAAGCTGAAGAAAGGTTTACATTTGTCAAAGCTTCTACTTAAGAATATATTCAGGGCCGCAGCCCTTCCAGTCAACATCTGCACTTGCTTTGCCGATGTTGGGCTCTCTAACTCCAAAATGGCCTTGATTTGATCGGGGCTAGCCTCAATACCCCTTCTGGTAACCAAATATCCTAAGAACTTACCAAACCCAACTCCAAATGCGCATTTTGATGCATTGAGTCGGCGTTGATATGTTCTAAGGATGTCAAAAACTGCCTTTAGGTTGGCCAGATGATCTCCAGGTTCCTTGGTCTTCACGACCATGTCATCTATGTATACCTCCACTGTTCTGCCTATTAGATGCCTGAACATCTTGGTCACCAATCTCTGGTAAGTTGCTCCTGCATTTTTTAACCCAAAAGGCATCACTCTGGAGCAATATAGCCCTTTTAGAGTGATGAATGCAGTCTTCTCCTCATCTAGGGGGTACATAGCTATCTGATGGTACCCTTTCACTACAACAAAAAACACATTTGGCGACCCAAAAATTGGTCGCCAAAAGTTCAAATTTCGTCACCAAAAGAATCGATGACAAGTATACAATTGGTCGCCAAAGGCCTGTCACTAAAAGTATTGGTGACGAAATCAGAAATTGTCACTGTATGTAGACATTTAGCAACAAGCAAAATTGGTTGCCAAAAATCATATATTTTGTCGCTATAAAATTACAGTTTGTCGCTAAAAGGTTAAAATTTTGTTGCCATAAATATCATCCACCTTTCAACGACTATTTTAATTTCGTCGCCAAAAAGTCACGATTGGCGACAAACAGTTTCGTCGCCATATATTAATTTGGTCGCCAAAACTTTTTTAGCGCTCCCGCGCAAAAAGTTAAATTGGCGCCAACCATTTTTGGCGACCAATTGAGATATTTGTTGCTAATAGTGTATTTTTTGCCGACCAACACGTATATTGTAGCCAAAAACATACAATTGGCAACTAAATTCAATTTGGTTGCTAAAAAACGTCGCCAAAAATGCTTTTTGTTGTAGTGCCTGTATGCATCCAGGAAGCTCATCCTTCTATGCCCTGAAGTGGCATCGACCAATTGGTCAATCTTGGGTAGTGGAAAACTGTCTTTGGGACAAGCCTTGTTCAGGCTGGTGAAGTTCACACAGACCCTCTACTTCCCATTCCTTTTCTTTACGACGATCGTGTTTGATAACCATGTTGGGTAGTTTACCTCTCGAATGGCCCTAGTCTCCAGAAGTTTATCCACTTCCTCTTCTACTGCCTCAACATGAATCAACATTGG